TATATATAAATAAATTAAAATTAAATAAATGGTAATATACATTTAAAAAAATACAAATTATATATTAATAAAAAAAATTAAAAAAATCTGTTCAAACATGTTTTGTTGAGTTTTGTTGGTCTTCATGCTGAAACACAAATGCTGTAAGGATGCAGACAAAGAACAGCGAGTCTGTTAAAAACCACAGAGTCCAAACAGCAGCAGATCAACAGTCAGGGGTTCGTCTGTTCAACACGCTGAACTTTCAGAAACTCCTGCTGTTCTGACCTTTACAAGCATCTTACAGGACACAAAGCACACACGGCACAGTGAAAACTGAGCACAGCACTGATACTGAACAACACACTACAGAGACAATCAGACAGTTGCCATTTAGGAGCAGAGAAAACACATCCTGCCTAACAGTGCTTTAAAAAGAAGCCCTCTGCAGTGCACTTCTGATCAAACAAGGGCAACGTTCATCTGCACTGTTTACTAAAAGCCTGGGTTGTTAACATGGGATTTGTCATTTCCTTCCTTGGCAATACGAACACAGGGACAGCAGCCAAAAAAAATTCTCTCGACATGAAAGTCACACTTAAAAACGTATGAATTTAAACTTAAGTCCCATCTGCAAAATATTTTTTTTTTAAAACTTTTTTATTACTTTTATCCAGCTGGTGTAAAGGTGATTTTTAGTGGATGCAAGTCAGTTCTATTCAAGTTCACACACTCTGAAAAATTTGGTGAAGAAACAATTTTCACTCACATTGAATTAAATGTCAAATGTTTAAGAAAAAAAGAGAAATCGTATTTTCTTGTAAAACATTTTATCACATTATCGATGTATGTTTGACAGCTAAAAACTGTCTGAAATACATGTTTTGAACAATATATCTATTGATGTATAATTAAAAACTAACTTAGGCGTTACATTTTTATTCATATTTCTTAAATTATTTGTATTAATTTATTCTAATATTTGAATCATTAAATTATCAAAATTATATATATATATATACACTGAAAGAAATAATGAATAATAATTATTATTAATTAATAAATAATTATGTTTATTTCTTTTTTGTCTCTTTGCTTTTCAGAATGACTTCTGCTCTATTGGCTACTGGACTATTCAGGCCAGTTTGAAAGACAACACACACACACAGCACATTTGAACCAAGTCCAAAATGACATTGGGAAAGATCTGTCAATATAATTTTAAACTGCAACTGGATATAAAATGTGATGGAATATTTCAGCGAAATACATTTTTTAAATAAATAAATACATTAAAATAAATTAAAATATTACAATTTATTATACATACATACATACATACATATATATAACAAAGAGTGAAAAATTTAAGGGGGTCTGAATACTTTCCGTACCCACTGTATATATACATTGCATATAGGATGTTTATATCCAAATTAATGTGTACTCTATAAACACACACACACACACACACACACACTAATATGGATATAAACACCCTGCATCACTCCCTGTCTAACTCCTCCCCCTCAATTAATGTAAAAAGCAAGCAGAGCCATTATTTCCCACAGCAACGAACACTTCAGAGCTCGCACCGCAGTGAAAACAGCCTTTAAGGCGCACGAGAGGACACTTTCTGCTTCACTTCTTCAGCCCATAAAGCACCTAGAGCTGGGGTAAACAGACCCCTGCTTGACCATCACAACACACTCACACATACACAAACAGCTCCCAGCGCTGACAAGCAGGACAAATGATTTGTCCCCAAACACCACCCCATGTGCTCTCTTCACTTCAGCAGTTCATCTGGAGCGAGAGCGCTGATAACAGCCGCGATGGGTCGACTGAGGCGCGCACTGACATATTACTTGCTCATACACTACTACAGCATTCAATAATATTTTGAATAATGTTTTATTTTTATATTTTCAGTTTATTATAATTATATTTATAGTTTAATTTCAGTTCATTTTATTTTTTTGCTTTAATAATTTTAAATGTTTTTTTTTTATTAGTTTTTTTATTTATCTATTTAGCTTTATTTATATTCAGTTTTGGGGGTAACGCATTACAAGTAACGCGAGTTACGTAATCAGATTACTTTTTTCCAAGTAACTAGTAAAGTAACGCATTACTTTTTAATTTACAAGAGAATATCGGAGTTAATTTTTCAAATAAGTAATGCAAGTTACTTTTCCCCCCCAATTTATTGATTGACAGCTCTCCTGTCCCCATGTTGAGAGAAATCAGAAGATGTTACTGTAGTTCAAAATAAATATTGTGTTCTTTTTTTATTGCTGAAGTGTGTTGAAATTTCTTCTTCTGCATTCTACTGTACGGACGTAAATTTACTTTCCCTTCAGCCTGAGGCTTATTCGTTTCACTTTTGGTGTGAAAAGGCTTTTATATTTGCCAAAAATATAACTTTTTTTATTTTAAAAACAAACAAGCAAGCCCTGTCCAGATTTAAAAAGTAACGCAAAAGTAATGTAACGCATTACTTTCCATAAAAGTAACTAAGTAACGTAATTAGTTAATTTTTTATGGAGTAACGCAATATTGTAATGCATTACTTTTAAAAGTAACTTCCCCCAACACTGTTTATATTTCAGTATTAGTGAAGTTTTTTAAATGTATTTTAAATCTAATATTGATATTTTCTTTCTTTTTTTTAAAAATTAAATCAAAACGGTTTTGAATAGTACTAGTTTTAGTTAACAATAACAACACTGCTTTTTAAAAGCTGCTGATGTTTTCAGTATGGCAGGGTACAGCTGAGAGGATTCTCCTTCAGAAACAGTAATGCAGAGCTAGAAATCATATAATCGCTTGCTCTTATCATTACTGAAGTGTTAGGCTGAGTGCTAGCTGTTGTTTAACACTCTGCATGGGGCTTTAATTGACCCCGAGCCTCTGTGGTGAGATCTGTCAAAGGGTGACAGGCTGACAAAATACACACTTGGCAACCCTTTTCCCATCCACAACACCACAATACACGAAATATTGTATTATGTTTTCAGTTTAAAGCTACCATCAAACATAATTTACAACATGCTAACGTTCAAAAACCGGTCACTGCTTGTCAGTTTGTTGTTAACTCAAACTATTAAAAATCATTTTCAGTAACTGAAATAAAGCTGAAATAAATTATAATAATAGAACGAAAAACCTAAACTTAAATGAAAATTGGCAACTAACTGAAATAACTAGGCAGAAGTACTAAAATTACTAAAAGTAAAATAAAATTATAATATGAAAATGACAAAAACACATAACAATATTACTAAAGCTTAATCTGAAATTAAAATGAAAACTGAAAATATAATATATATTAAATAAATATTAATAAATTACAAATATTTGATACATATTAACAAATATTAATAAATACTAAGATAGCATAATACTAAAATAACACTGCTCTATGTCAGTGGTTCTACAGAAGTTAACATGCTGCCTTAGAAGTCAGCTGTCTATATAGGCAGTGAGCAGCTCCCTAGGTTTTGGGAAGCTATACAAATAATGTTTTGGTAATTTCTGATATCACCTAAAAACAACATCATCTCCGAAGCATTTGAGGACACTTACTGTAGATAATGGACGAAGGTGGGATCTCGGCCGTTGAATCCTCATACCTCCTTTGGTAGTTAGGCTCCCTAAAAATACACAACGCACTGAACTCAGTAGTGTTCTTTAGCAGTGTTGTGCTTTGCTTGTGTGGTGGTCACAGTAGACTCTGTGCTCCCTTCACTTTCATTTCAATCATATGAATGTGGAAGAATAAGCACAAAAGCATATGCTTAGAATTTTCGTCTTTCACTGCATCATTTAAAGTTCACATTTGGCAAACATGTAATATGGAGGAATTTGTGAAATCAAAAGAAATTCTAAATGCCACAGATTGACCTCTTGCCTAAAACATGATTTTGGTGCTGTCAAGTCATCCTGTTCTATACACAGTACGTTTAAAGTAATGCAGTACATACACTTAAATTTCAGGTAAGAGCAGCTGTATGAAGCAGTCATCTAGTGTGAACGCCCCTTTAGTCAGTCTGCATTAGTTCTTCCCAAGCCTAACCTTTCTGAGACTCAAAATAGTTTAATAGAATGAAGTAAACACCTCCATCTAACATTACTGAGACACGATGTGCTCTGATTCACAATCACAACATGATATGAACAGCTTCCCATGAATCTGATCCCTTATCTGAAAAAGAAAAAAAATTCAAACTGTACTGAAAAAGCACTCTTTGCTTACACAGAAGGCAAGTCTTGCATGACGTTTACCATGTAAAAAAAAAAAAATATATATATATTTATTTTTAATTA